AAACCCTTCTTACTCTTAAATGTTAGTTGCGAGTTAAACTTGGGAATAGAATTTTATCCCAAGGGCTCGTTCCTTCCAGAAGGATGTAATGGTAATTTGTCGAAGTATTTTCTCTTCTTCTCACTTCTATGTTGCATAAAGCTTCTAATTTGAATTCCCTGTTTCAGTTTCCTTTGTAAAGGACCACTGATTCTTAGTCATTTTTGTCTTGTACATCTCAAAAGAATGTTGGACGCATGTTATTTGATTATCTCTTTGTTTTGTTCTAAATCTAGAAAAGTTTGGAGCTGCCATGGCATTGGTCAAGTCTGATATTGGTGGAAATATAACGGTCAGTCTCTCATCTTTTGCTTTAACTGAACATTTCTGGTTTTTTGTCTGCTTATTTTCTATTGCTTATATTTTACCTTCTATTTCTCAGTAAAAAATGCTTTTGATTTTGGAGTTTCACAGCATTTGTTCTAGTAAAGTCCTTTTATTTGGGGGTGCAGGATAATTTTCTCTTCTGCGCCTTTCTACCACTTCTCTACCCTGAATGAGCAGGAAAGCCCTGTTAGATAATGCTTTCCTGTAATCCAGCATGTCTGAATAATGGGTTTTAGTCACATTTTGTAGAGTAATTATCTTGAGAACAATGAGTTTATTCGGCCAGGCAACTGAACTAGCTCGACCTTGGTTGAGGACCTTCTATGTTATGTTGCTCGATATTCTTGGGCACTTCATTCCTTGAACCATGCAAATGTCTTCTGTTGACTTTGTCCTGCTGCAGTGCTGCATATAGCTAGGAAACCCAGCCGATATCTCGTTTTTGCAAAATTTTAGATGCTTCATTACTAAAATCTAGTATTGAATATTGATGCTGCAGAGGTTAGAAAACAAGTACTTGTCAAACCCAACAAAATATACAAACTTGTACAGCATGGTGCAAGAAGAGGTTGAAGCGAAGACAGCAAAAGGCTCTTCCAGTTGCACAAATGGTCTTCTTTGGTTGACAAGGTTGAGAATAATTCTCTATCTCATCTAACTTAATCTCTTTTGTGCAGCCATTCATCTTCTCGATGATGTCTTTTCCCATGCTCAGAGCTCACTCATACAAATCACTCAGCAGCATGCATGTCCATGCTGTTCCACAATGCATTAGAATTCTGGTTAACTGAATTGCAATTAAAAGAATCTGTCATTATGTCTTTAGGGCTATGGATTTCTTGGTGGAGCTGTTCAGGAATTTACTGGACCATGGGGACTGGGCGATGTCACAAGCTTGCTCTGATTCATACAGCAAGACGTTGAAAAAGTTTCATGGATGGTTAGCGAGTTCAAGTTTTACGGTAACTGTTTCATATGCCCTGAACTTCGCTTCTAGTGCTATTGATCTGGAACAGTTGCATCTTTCCCCATACTTACCATGCAGACTATGAGATTCTACCTTCTGGTCTTGGAATGCGTTTGCTACTATTGATCTTTCCAGAGAAAATCCATGTTGGCTTATTTTGGTGTTCCGGTTACCAATATTATCTGCTTAGCGGCTATACTCTTTTCTTAACGTTATAGTTTTAAGATATGTCATAGACAGTCAAATGCACATTTAGCTTCAGTGTTGTTTCCTAGTATATGAATGTTGGTCTAAGCCCAGTGGCCTTATATGCTGCTGCTGACTAATGGTGTGAACTGCACTTTACTGATATTTAGGGGGAAAGAACTTTGATATTTCTGCCATCCTTTTTTTTTGGTCTATATTTCCTCTCATGTTCTTCCTGAGCTGAGGGCCTACCGAAAATAGCCTCTCTACCTTCTCAAGGTAGGGATAAGGTAGGCGTACTCATTTCCCTACTTGTGGGATTACACTGGGTTTGTTGTTGTTGTTATTTCCGCTCATGTTCATGTTGGGTTAGTTATTCTTTAAAATGCTTTCTTCTTTGTCAACTCGGAATGTAGTTTTTTATTTTTCGCTAGAGAGGTGAAGTTGCAGTAAATATATATTTTTATTGCTTTTCATTCCGAAATTAAAATTTCTGCCATCCTCATTTTTCTCTATATTTCCTCTCATGTTCATGTTAGATTAGTTATTCTTTAAAATGCTTTCTTCTTTGTCAACTCGGAGTGTAGTTTTTATTTTTCGCTTGAGAGGTGAAGTTTTTATTTTCCACGGTGTGGGATATTACTGGGTATGTTGTTGTTGTTGTTGTTGAGAGGTGAAGTTGCAGTATATATATATATAGCTTTTCACTCCGTTATTAAAATTTATACTGAAGTTGGACCAACCAGCCAGACATCTGCTTTTAGTTATTGCTATTTTTGAACTCCTCTCTCTCTCTCTCTAACAACACTGAACTGTAATTACAGGTGGCAATGAAGCTCGCTCCAGATAGGAAGAAATTTATGGATGTAATATGTGGGACTGGTGATATTAACAGTGACATTGGACAGTTCTGCACTACTTTCTCACCGCTTCTCGAAGAGAACCACAAGTTCCTGGTAAGATTTCTTATTGGCGGATATCTATCAGATAGATACTTGGATTTTTTGCTGGGCTTACACTATTGTAGTTGTTCTTTCCCAAGCCCTACCTAAAGAATGAAAAGAAAAAAGAACTTGCTCCACTTTCCGGCATATTGATCTTTTAGATCTTCCTGGATCCGCTTCCAGGGGCAGAGCTAGAGTATTACGTATGGGTTCGGACGGACCGAGTAGCTTTTGCTAGATCCTGTATTTATATTAGGAAATTCATTAAATATTTATAAATATTTGATTGTGAACCCAATAACTACGAAGAGATATAGGTACGGTGGCTAGTTCAGAACCACTAAATTTCAAATCTTGGCTCCACATCACTTCTCAAATGGGTATAGGTAATTGTCGTCAATTTTCACTGCATGACTGATTAACTCGTGGAATAGCTGAAGGGCCTCTAGTAAGTAGTATCATGTTTTCTTGCATTTCAATTCAGGGAATATAAACGGTGACAGTAAAAACTTGTTTACCGTTGTTGCCATTGCAGGCCAGCGTAGGAATGGATGGTCTGAAAGCATCTTAAGTCTAAAGGAAGTTTGCAACTCAGTTGAGATTCATCCACACTGTGAGAAACTTCTGAAACAAGCATACTTCCTGCTTTATCCTGTTGTACCATGAGTAGCTATAACAGCAGACAATGAGCTTTCTTGTCGGAAGACATTGGTTTGTAACTTAAAATGAAAGGAACTGGATTGAGACAATAAGTAATTCTGGAGAACAATTTGACTCAAATATTTAATTTGATTTTCCAGATCATGATCACCTTTTATGACTTTACATGTTTCAGACTTCAAGTGAATGTATTGTTCAGTAAGTATTATTGTCGCATAATTCTATTTATTTGTGAAAATTACAAGTTTGTCCCTGTCCTGTTTCAACATATTAAGATTTAACAGCTGTTTATAGAAAAATACAAACCCATAAATGGCTTAAGTAACCAACACTCAAAGGTGTAGCCTAGCGGTCGATGTGGTTAAAATGAACCAAGGAAAAGTTTTCAAAATTTTCAAATTCTTCAAATTCCAGCAGAGACAACGGTGTCAGGTGGTTTTTTGCTGAAGCTTTGGTTGTTATAGTTATTCTGTACTTGAGCTGGTCGGAGATAGCATGCATTCTATGAAGTCGTCGAGGATTTTTGCTTAAGCTTTCGTGGAAAAAGTTAAGCTTTGGTGGATATAGTTATTCGGTACTTGAGCTGGTCGGAGATAGCATGTATTCTATGAAGTAGTCGAGGTTTTTTGCTTAAGCCTCACCCAATGAAAGCATAGGGCTGTAGGATGGATCAAGATTGCCAAAACAACGTTAATTGGTACATTTAGGAGTCGCTTGGTAGCCGGTTAGAGAGGAGTTATTCATGTATTAAAACTAGGATAATTTTGTACATTGTTTGGTTAAAAGAAAGGGAAAAAATAATCTCCACATAGAAGCTAGCATAAGTTATACAATGTTTGATTTTTTTCCCCCTCTTTTTCACATAAAATGTAGCATTGCTAATACAATGTTTGGTTCTTGTTTTTCTTTTCCGCATAACTAATACATGTATAAGTTATGAGAGAATCCATGTATTATTTAGGGTAGAAAGTGGAATAACTTATACATGTATTAGTAATACTTATATTAAAACACAAAATGACAAAAATGCCCTTTATTCAAACTTGCAATTTTTTGTTTAAGAATATATATTTAAACTATACTAACAATTTTAATAAAATAAAGTAAGCTAATAATAAATAACACTCACATTACATTTATATTACTAATTCTTATATAACTATCGCATAACTAATCCCAACATGACTCAACATTGCATAACTAATACATGCATAATTAATCCCTGCATTACTTATTCCTGCATAACTAATACATACATAACTAATACCTGCATAACTAAAGTTGTAAAATTAAATGAGACGAAGCTACACAGTAATAGCATCCCTCTTAAGTCTTAACTAAGAAAATGAAAAGCAAAAATAACTCCATAACTCTGTTTACCGAAGAAACAGTTCGCGATTATCATCTAATTTGAGTTTTGATCTTCCTTCATAAAATGCTCACTTATAGCACTTTCCAGTAATGATGGCTGTATAATTGCTAAATTATATAGCGTATATAGTCTAATTAAGCTAAGATTCGTATTAATCATTGATGCTCCATCCATCATGAGCCGCATGATGAATGACAAATAATATCTTCTTTGCAAAAGTTGATATACGTTGTGATTTAGTGGTAATAAAGTTTCAACTTCGAACTCTATTACAAATAAAAGCTTAATATTTAAGTAGAAAATAAAAAAATGACGAATTCATTATCTACTGAATTTCGAATATTGTTGTACTAATCTTCAAAAATTTCTTGATTATTGAAAAAGAAATTTGTTTTGCCAATATGGGCTTTTCCCTAGAACTGGCCCAACTAGCTGTCTGGCTCGGTCCATACAACGCCCAAAGTACTTGTCTATTCTTTCGGAGATATTTTTCCAATTTCGTCATCTGTTGCTAAACCCACAAAACCCGCTCCTCTTCAACCCACTCCCTTATCCTCCCCGACACACTACAAACTCTGATCACTATGGCGGGTACAACATCCACTGCATTCCGTGCAACTTCTCCAACTCTCCTCGACTTCGAACCTTTCTTCCCTAACCCAAAATTCATACCCGCAAATTTCCCCCTTCAAACCCGCTCCACGGCCTCGATTTCCCATTCCCTCCGGGTAGTAGCTCCGGAAACGGGTCGGGTCAACACAACCAGATGCAGAGCCAACCGCTCCGCTTACTCCCCCCTTAATTCGGGGTCGAACTTCGGGGACCGCCCGCCCACTGAAATGGCTCCGCTTTTTCCCGGTTGTGATTACGAGCACTGGCTTATAGTTATGGATAAACCTGGAGGTGAAGGTGCTACGAAGCAGCAAATGATTGATTGTTACATACAAACTTTAGCCAAAGTTGTTGGAAGGTAATTGTTTGTGCTCTTTCTACTGTTTATGAATAAAAAAACAAATATAACTAAACGTAAATGAATTAATTTTTACTTTAAATGTTTATATGAATTATGCATGTAGTCTGGCCTCATAAATAATTTTATGCTGGATGTGCCTTTGATTTTCTGTAGCGATATTTTTCTGGAAAAAAAAAAGTACTTACCGAGGCATGTGAAATATTTCTTATGAATTGTGATATTTAGTGAAGAAGAGGCTAAGAAGAGGATATACAATGTTTCATGTGAAAGATACTTTGGTTTTGGATGTGAGATTGATGAGGAGACGTCGAATAAGCTTGAAGGTCTGTGTTTGGATCATTTTATCTATTGTGTCAGCTAATGCCTAAGTTTGCTGTTCGTGCAAAATCTGAAAACTTTGTGTTTTATGGAATCTGTATAGGTTTGCCTGGTGTTCTTTTTGTCCTTCCAGATTCGTATGTTGACCCTGAGAACAAGGATTATGGAGGTACAGCTTTTTCCTTTTCTGACTTTCCTATCCTAATATGCAAAAAATGAGCTTTTTCTCTCTAATTTCATTTGGTCTTTTCCACATTTGCGCTACACTTGCTAGGATTTACTGTAGCTTTTGTCCGTGCTTGATATGAGTCGCAAGTATTTTTCATTCAAAACCAACTCGTTTTTTAGCTTAATATTTGTGCTAAGGGTTTATCCTTCTAAAGTAACTCATTGGAAATCATGATAAAGGAAGATATATTCCTTTTGAGAAGGGTCATGGTGATGGACCTCTAGTGATGATTTTTACTGGAAAGTTTGCTACTTTTTTATAATGATGTGTAGGAAAGAACTTGGCGAAGCCAGAAATTTCTCCAAAGTTGTTCAAACTTGAAACGAGTGAAAAAAATTCTTCGACAAAGGGTGTTCAATATATGTTATATACCTCTAAAACTTAATATTTTATCTATATATATTAATTTTTCGGATAAGGGTGTTCAATATATGTTATATATACCCTGGAAAGACGTACTCAACCATTTTGATCTGTTATGGGCATGGGTGCTCCTTAATTCTACGTTTAATACCTTTAGCCTACTTCCTGGTCCTGCTTTTCATTCCTTTGTTTTCCCTTTTAAGTCCTTCCAGTTTTGCGCTGAAGATCATTGTTTAGTAAATAAACAGAACTGACAAGAATTGAGCTTTGTCTTGTGATATTGTGTTATAGCTATCATGTTGGCGCCCTCTGTATCTCATCATTGTATCTTAGACTTTAACCTGATATACATCTTTAACATCTTTTTTAACTGCCAGCTGAGCTATTTGTGAATGGAGAGATAGTTCAAAGGTCACCTGAAAGACAAAGAAGAGTGGAGCCAGTGCCCCAAAGGGCTCAAGACAGACCCAGATATAATGACCGAACACGTTACGTCAGGCGCCGTGAGAATTCACGGTGACAACTCACCTCTTGTATAATATGTGTTCCTATTTTTATGTATCTTGGTTGGGGAAAAAAGACTCTATCATGAGAAGAGAAGGTATGTCCTGTTCTTGCTTTCGTGTAAGCTCTATTGTTATGGGACATTCAGTGATTTAGCTGAAACATTGAAAAGATTGAGCACTTAATTGTCAGTAATGGCTCAAGCAAGTTCTTTCATGTGTAAAATTTTACAAGTACACTTTATTTGTGATGTACTATTTGAGATGTCATTTTCACGACCCAAAATCTAACTAGTCGTGATGACATCTAACCCAACCCGTTAGGTAAGCCAACTATTCACTATCCAATTCCAATGTAATTTAACAAGACAATTAAGTAAAAGAAAATAACTAAATCTTATATATTCCCCAAGAACTGGTAGTACAAATCATGAGCTTGTAAGAATAGAGTTTACGAAGCTGGTATGAAATAAATACATTAGCTGTTTGAAAAGTACATAAACAGAGTTTTATGAATCTATGGCTACCGTGAACAAGAGGCAGCACAACCGGAACGCAGATACATCTTCAAATCCCGCTCCCATCGAACACAGCAACATTAGCAGCCAACATCTGCACGCAACGTGCAGAAGTGTAGTATTAGTACAACCGACCCCATGTACTGAGTAAGTAACAAACCTAACCTTAGGTTGAAAGCAGTGACGAACTTGTACCAAGGTCGGGTCCAAAACTAATAGTCCACAACAGTGTATAACCACATAAAGCAAATAATACAAGAAGTAACTCAGAGATAAAATGCTCAGCTAAATCATGATTTCAAAAATAATAATTCTTCCTTTCAAGTACATCACTAAAAACCCAAATCGTTTACCGAAATTGCCAAAAATATGAATAAGTTTGGAAACAATAATTTTTCCCGAAATTCTTTCAATAATAAATGAGATGTTTTATTTTCTTTCTAGATAACCCGTGTAAAATAAATGTATCACTATGCCCATCTGTCAACATGTGTGAGAAATCATGAATGATGTAATATCGTACAATATGAGGAAAAATCTATCTCTATGCCTGTATGTCATGTGTGCATGTCAATGCGATGCAACTCAGTGATAAAATCATATGCATACTCTAAGAGTATCATTTCACTCAGTACTCCCAGTCACTCAGTCCTCACAGTCACTCATGCCTCACAGTCACTCAATCCTCCCAAATCACTCGGCACCCGCGCTCGGCACTCGCACTTGGCACTCGCACTTAATAGGTACATGCACTCACTAGGGGTGTGTACAGACTCCGGAGGGGCTCCTTTAGCCCAAGCGCTATAATCTGCACGGACAACTCATGTGCTGCACGGACAACTTACGTGCTATAGTATCAATATCTGTAGCTGCATGAACAACTCACGTGCTATAATAAAGCCTATAAGGCCTGCTGCAGACGGGCAACCCCGATCCACATAATCATCCTCACAATCAGGCCCTCGGCCTCACTCAGTCATCAATCTCTCCAGTCTCTCTCTCATGGGCTCACAATGTCATAAAAATAGTCCGAAAATGATGATATGATGTATCAATAAATAACAACAGAGACTGAGATATGATATGTAATGACATGAATATGACTGAGTATGAATTTTCAATTTAAAACAAATAATTCACAGCGATATGACCTCTCTGGATCCCAATAATACTGGCACATAGCCTCAACATGATTTTTAATATGATTCTTAGCTCAATTTCTTTAGCACATAAAACTACATAGAAAATGCCAAGATTATTTGACTATAAAATTCCACGGAAACAATTACATCACAATTTTCATGGTGCACGCCCACACATCCGTCACCTAGCATGTGCGTCACCTTCCAACAATTCACATAATACATATATTCAGAGTTCATACCCTCACCTCCAAGATTAGAAGAGTTACTTACCTCGAACAAGCCGAATCCAATGCCGAGCAAGCCAAACAATGCTCCAGAAATTTCATTCTGCGCGTATCAACTCCTGAATGGCTCGAATCTAGCCACAATAAATTTGATTCAGTCCACACAATTTACAGGAATTAATTCCATATCAAAATACTAATATTTTCCCACAAAATTCGAAATTACACTCCAAAAATTGTTAGTGGGGCCCACATCTCGAAACTTGACAAAAGTTACAAAATACGAATGTCCATTCAACCACGAGTCCAATCATACAGAATTTTACTCAAATCCGACATCAATTCGACCCTTAAATCTTCAAATTAAACCAAGAGGGTTTTCACAATTTTCCAACTTAATTCACCAATTAAATGTTAAAAACAACCATGGATTCGGGTAATTTGACCAATATTGAGTTAAGAACACTTACTCCGTTGTTTTCTCTGAAAATCTCCCCAAAATCGCCTCTTCCCGAGCTCCAATCCGTCAAAAATGGCCCATTTTCCAGAACTTAAACTCTCTGCCCAGTCATTTGCTCTACGCGATCGCGAAAAACAGTTTTTCAACTGCCCAAATTTTCTTAATCGCGATCACGGAAATGGCCTCGCGATCGCGAAGCACAAAGCAGACTGCCCACACATTTTACCCTACGCGAACGCGAAATCACTCACGCGATCGCGGATCACTACCTCTCAAACCTACGCGAACGCGTTCAGCCCCATGCGATCGCGTAGAGCAATTACCTTCCTTCATCTACTGCTGAAATCCTTCTGCGCGAACGCGACCTCATCCACGCGTTCGTGAAGTACGGCTTAATACACTTATGCGATCGCGTTCCTTCCTCTGCGACCACATTGAACAAAAATACCCCTGCCCCAAATAAGCTTACGCGATCGCGTCCCAATCTTCGCGATCGCGAAGAAGGTTTGAAACACCAGAAATCAGCAGCTACCAGCACTGCAAAAATGAAGGAAAATAATCCGAATACCATCCGAAACACGCCCGAGCCCTCGGGACCTCAACCAAATATACCAACAAGTCCTGAAACATCATACGAACTTAGTCGAGTCTTCAAATCACATCCAACAACACTAAAAACACGAATCATACCCCAATTCAAGCCTAATGAACTTTGAAATTTCAAGTTTTCACAAACAACGCCGAAACCTATCAAATCACGTCCGATTGACCTCAAATTTTGTACATAAGTCATAAATGATATAACGGACCTATTAAAATTTTCAGAATCGGATTTCGACCCCGATATCAAAAAGTCAACCCCCCGGTCAAACTTTCCAAAAATTTAACTTTAGGCATTTCAAGCCTAATTCCACTACGGAACTCCAAATAATTTTTCGGACTTGCTCCTAAGTTCAAAATCACCATACAGAGCTATTGGAATCATCAGAATTAAATTCGGAGGTCGTTTACACATAAATGAATATCCGGTCAACTTTTCCAATTTAAGTTTTCAATTATGAGACTAAGTGTCTCATTTCACTCCGAAATCCTTCCGGACCTGAACCAACTAACCCGATAAGTCATAAATCAACTATAAGGTATAAATTGAGCAGTAAATGGGGAAACGTGGCTGTGATACTCAAAACGACCGGTCGGGTCGTTACATTCTCCCCCACTTAAACATACGTTCGTCCTCGAACGTGCCAAGAGTTGTTCTTAACCTTCAAATCTCTATTCCACCTTACCATGCACATACCCGGGGTTGATCTCACGTCATCCTATTCTATATAGACCTGACTACACAACATAGCTGAAAATCATTAATTTAACCTTAGTCCAAAAACTATGGAGCCAAATTTCTAACATCCAGAATTCTTTTCAAGACCCGAATTTGACATTTACACACTGTATAAGCCTGAACAAGCTGTATCCAGCCATAACCATAATCCCAGATATAATCACACAACATACTATACAACTCGCATACTCGTAGCACCATTTCTGATCACAGTAACTACACAAAACCAATCAAGTACTAGTATAAAACCCCACATTCAACAGAACCTCATTCCGAAATCTTCGTACAATGTCAATGATGAAAGAAACAATCAAAAACTCATAACCACTCATCAGATCAACTAGACATGGAGCTCTCTCACCCCAACCAGAACCATAATCCTCTCCTAAGCCGACTTTCAATATTATCCTCCCGAATATACCATAATCAAGCCTGATAGTACCCATTCTAGGTCCAATGACCTTATATTATTAAACACAACTATCCCACATACACGCCACATCAACATAACTCAAGCCACAACTGCGTAATCTGTGTATGCAAATATGGAAGATGTCTCAAGGAAGAGAACCGTATTGCAAGTTCACAAGCACTACCACAACCGCATTGTTAGAACCAACTCCTCAAATTTCGTGAAGAGGATAACCGTAAGTGCATGTACACAATTGTAGAGGAAGGAAATTAATAGATCAGATAAATTATTATAGAAATAGAATTCCTACATACGGCACGGACAACTCACGTGCCAATAATATGAATCGTCCGACATGGTCACAGGCCTCTAGTCCCAGCATATCATACATGAGCAATTAAACAAGTACACTTGTATATGATAATGAAATAAGATTCTCATACTCCTGGACTGGTAGAAATAGCACGCCATAGTGTAAGCACGTGCAAAGTCTGCTATCACACTTCAAATCGACAATTTTTTTTTAACGCAGAATTAGTAACTACCCCATTTATTTAGGGAATCATCTTCTTTGTAACCTCAAGTATAGCCCAGATAGTTCTCAACAAAGGTACGAATACGGGAAACGTTATAACTTTACGCTTAACAGTCAACTCTAGGCATATAATAGCCTAAGCATTCTTCCGAGTATGAATACTTACTCTAATGACCGCACATGGGCTCAAACCTCACATATATGCGCACTCATAGCGCATAGCTATCACAAATAATTAGCGCAACTAGGGCCTCCACTGAGTTTTAAATAAAATAGTCACCTCAAATAGGTCGCAACCCCGAAATAATATACTTCTGAGAACTTCCAATCTCCCAATTTATCGAACACATGAATCACCGTAAGTGATCCCAACTCCAGCACTAGAATGACTAACACATCTTCCATTCACGATAATCCCATGAGGAATACTTTCATAATTCTTCCGTGACACATAACAATAGTTTGAATATCACCGGTCTATCAACTAGGTGAGTACTGCAATACCGATGAACATCCGTAAGTCAAAAAACAAAGCGCCTTCTGAAATGCGCACCCTTATCAGGAATTACCGAGCAGTTATAACATTCATCGAAATATTTGAAACTGACCATGCTG